AGCTCCAGGGCAGGTCTCTCCACAGCAACCTTTCTGGTGGAAACTGATGCAAAGAAACCTGCCCCCTGGTGTCACCTTTCCCAGGTGGTACCTGGGCTCTGCACAATGGACATTCTTATCTGGCCATCAGTTGCATTGAACTGCTCAGCTCTCTTCCCAGCAGCAGGGTTTCTATGCTCAGACTGAGCTTTAGCCACTATTTCCTTCTAGCGTAACAGGCCCAGACAGGAGCTGTTCAGTGTCTGGATTTGGGGGGAGGGAGGCCCTGTCCCCACTGCAAGGGCAGACAGGGTTTTATAACCAGCTTGTGACACTCCCCTGATGCAGTTACAACAAATTGTGCCCACGCAGCAGCTTTTCTGCCTCTCAGCCGTGGCTGAGCAGGGTATGTTTTTGTACCCAGCATGCAGCCTGACTGTGTGTGTGCCCTGGCGCATGCTGGGAGAGTCTGGGCAGCTCCAGGGGCCATGCACACACATTGCAGCACCACTGGCCCAGGGATCCATGCACTCCAGGGTATCATCCCGCAGAGAGCTGGGAGGGAGGGGGGCACCCAGAGCAGTTACACAAACACCATTGGGGGTCCTGTTAGGGTCACCATCTCTGAGGTGCAACAAAACAGGAAATCTGCCTGCTTCATATACACCACCTGTTGCAGCGGGACACTGTCTCCCCATCCGAATCCCAGGAGAGGGCACCAGACACCATAGGCTCCTGCTCCTGGGCTGCCCCAAGTACCAACCTCATCAAGCAGGACATGGCGCCAGATCTACCCCGCTGCCCCCAGCGGTGACCCCCACAGCTGGTACCTGCACAGTGGTGACTGGGCCCTGCTGGCCCTGAGCTCCCGATCTCACTCACTGCTCCAAGCTGCCCCGTCTCTGCAGCTCCCAGGCACTCTGGACCCAGAGCACCCTCTAGGTAGTCACCACTACCCCGCAGCTCCCCTGCTACAGCCAATGACACACCTGGGACTTGTAATGTCCTGGGCAGACTCACAGATTTCCCAGGAGAGAAACATAGACAAAGGGACAATCCTGGGAAAACCTGGACAGGTCGGGTTGCCAACTTTCTAATCTCACAAAACTGAACACCTGAAAACCTGCCCTGCCCCTGCCCTGAGGCCTTGCCCTTGCCCTTCTCTGAGGCCCACTCCATCCCCCCTCCCTCCATCACTCGCTCTCCCCCACCCTCAGTCACTTTCACTGGGCTGGGGCAAGGGTTTGAGGTGCGGGAGGGGGGTTGGGGCTGAGGGGTTCAAAGTGCGGGAGGGTGTGCGGGCTCTGCCTGGGGGTGTGGGCTCTGGAGTGAGGCTGGGGATGAGGGACTTGGGGTGAAGGAGGGGGCTCCGGGCTGGGGCAGGGGGTTGGGGTGTGGGAGGGAGTGCATGAGGGGGTGCACTGTCCCGACAGCACTTACTACAGCTCCCAGGAAGCGGCTGCCAGGTCCCTGCTGCCCCCAGGTGCATGGGTGGCCAGGGAGGCTCTGCCTGCTGCCCTCATGTCTGCAGACGCTGCCCCTGCAGCTCCCCTTGGTCATGATTCCCGGCCAATGGGAGCTGCGGAACTGGCACTCGGGGTGGGAGCAGTGCGCAGCGCCTCCCTGGCTGCCCATGTGCCTAGGGGCCACAAGGACCTGGTGGCCGCTTCCAGGAGCCGAACGGAGCTAGGGCAGGCAGGGAGCCTGCCTTAGCCCT